GATCCTCTCGACGTACCTCCACCACGTGCACGACGGGTACGTGCTGCCCGATGGCACCAACCACCCGCCGGACCAGCTCCCGCACCTCTGCACAACCATGCGCGGCGGCAACGGCTGCGTCCGCAACGTAGGCGCGAGCATGATGCAGCGCCCCGAGATGCCGCAGATGCAGGCGCTCTGGGGCGCAGGCCTCTCGTTTGGCAAGTGCCACGCCGAGAAGCGCGTGCTTATCGACTCGCACACGCTGTGGATGTTTGACGGCGAGGAATTCCTCCGCGCGTCGCACCTCTGGACGTACGGCTACGACATGTACTCGCCCAGCACGGGCGGCACGGTCGTGTACCACAACTACACGAGCGTCCCCGCACGGTAGACACGTCTTCATCTTCGTCTCTTACACAACAAACTAGCTTTGAGCACGTTCAGGTAGACCAAGCGCGCAAGACGGAGGAAGAAAAAATGGGTGTCAACCGCTTCAAGCTAATGGTCGGGCAGCCGTTCAAGGGCCCCGTCGACACGGAAGAGTGGGACAAATATGCCTTTGGCACCGTGCGTCCGTTCAAAGCATTTCTCAACTTTTCAGGCATTACGTTTGAGGAAGGCAAGAGCGACGAGCACTCGTGCAAGCAGCTCCACTGGGTCCCGTACACCAACCCCGCCGAAATCGAGGCGCTCGTGCCCGGGTGGCACCTCCGCCCGAAGAAGACGCCGACACTGACGGCCGCGCCGCCACCGGTGCAAGTCCTCTCGAACGATGAGGCTGGTGTGCGCTCGGTGACGGCTGCGCCGACGCGCCGCGAAAAGGCGCCGGACCACGGGATCGAAGCCACGATCTCGCTCGACCATGTGCCGACGGTGACCGGTCCCGTGCTCTTTATGCTCTTTGGCGTCGTGGTATTTGGTGTCGTCATGTACTCGAACGACGGTCTCTGGCTCAGCACGAAACGCTACTTCCGGCTGCAGCACAAGGCGCGCAACTAGCAACTTATGCTTTACCTCGTGGAGTCAATATATCCCTTTTCTTTGACGCGTATGAGCCCACCTTATGCACGAAATATGCTTTATGACTTGATGCGAACGAAGAGCATTTCGATCATGAGCAGCTGCAAGCGCGCGCATACTCGCGTGCATGGCGAGCGCGTTGACGACCTTGAATGCGACACCAAGGTAGAACGACTCGCTCATTCGTCTCGCATGAAGTACTCTTCCGACTCGAGCCTCGACGTTTCTGAAGATACTATCGACCTCGTGTAAGAGCAAGGTGTCTTGCTCAAGGTGGCTGCGATCGAATCTCATCGCTACAACTAAGCCGCCAAGATCGACGAACTGCGCTACAATAGGAAGGTCTTGAGGTGACTGAAGCCTCGTGGGAAAGACGCGACTCGCTGCTCGCCCAGTGCCCAACGGTCGTCCAGCGGTATGTTGAGTCACTCGCCGACGGGCCCGATCAACGCCGGCTCCTACGACAGGTAAATGTGGACTAGCGCGTATACATTTGTACACATACTGCCAGGATGGCCACGGCTTGGGAGGTTTATGTGTGAACCAGAGGCTAGGCCATGTCCTACCAATGCAAGCTGCGTCCAGCTGGAGAAACCGTGCGAAGACACAAATTATAAGGGTTCTATATCACATACTAGCTGTAGGTCTAGTCTATCCTTCCATGAAAAAAGTCAGCGAATTAGACCCGGGGGGCACCGGGGGGCAGTTCAGTTGGTAAAGTTTCTGCTTCGCGTCCCGAAGGACACCGGTGGTTGAGACAATTTCTTCCAGCGATCTCTGCTCATTAAATTAAATGGACCCAATTCAACAACAACTCCGATTTCATAACGACAATATATTATAAATAGTAAGTAAGAACTGCACTGCATATCCGGATACGGTAATTACACAAGTTACAGAACTTTTGAAAGATACTCCTCGCGGGGCATTTCCATTCCCACACGCTCATGAAGTCGGTGTCGCTGCTGCTGCTCTCGGCCATCGCGCTGGCGCTCGCCAAGCGCCCGCAGAGCATTGCCTTCTCGTGGCCGGAAGGCGATGACAAGAAGAACTACGACCCGGACATGGCGCCCGAGACGCAACACATCCCGCTCGACCCGACGGACGCGGCGCTCCGCCCGCCGCCGCCGCGCGTGTCGGCGACGCCCGACATTTTTGTGGGCCTCTCGACGTTCCGCGACGGGCACCGGTGTGGCTACACGCTCTTTACGGGCTTCAAGCGCGCCGTGCACCCCGACCGCCTCTACTTTGGCGTCGTCGACCAGGTCAACCCCGGCGACCTCCGGTGCTTGGACGAATATTGCAAGATGGCCAATGCCGAATGGCCCGAAGAAGAGTGCAAGTACAAGGCGCAGATCAAGATTGACGAGCGCCTCGCCGACGACTCGCGCGGCCCGACGTACGCGCGCCACTATCAGCAAAAGCTGGTCGGCGACCAAGAGTTTTGCCTCCAGCTGGACGCGCACTCGGTGTTTACGAACGGATGGGACTCAAGCCTCATCAACGACTGGAAGTCAGTCGGCAACGAGATGGCGATCCTCTCGACGTACCTCCACCACGTGCACGACGGGTACGTGCTGCCCGATGGCACCAACCACCCGCCGGACCAGCTCCCGCACCTCTGCACAACCATGCGCGGCGGCAACGGCTGCGTCCGCAACGTAGGCGCGAGCATGATGCAGCGCCCCGAGATGCCGCAGATGCAGGCGCTCTGGGGCGCAGGCCTCTCGTTTGGCAAGTGCCACGCCGAGAAGCGCGTGCTTATCGACTCGCACACGCTGTGGATGTTTGACGGCGAGGAATTCCTCCGCGCGTCGCACCTCTGGACGTACGGCTACGACATGTACTCGCCCAGCAAGGGCGGCACGGTCGTGTACCACAACTACACGACCGTCCCCGCACGGTAGACAATTCATCGGCTTCTTGCAGTTGCATGAAGCGACAAAATAGGTTTGAGCACGTTCAGGTCGACCAAGCGCGCAAGGCAAAGGAAACAACGATGGGTGTCAACCGCTTCAAGCTTATCGTCGGGCAGCCGTTTAAGGGCCCCGTCGACATGGAAGAGTTGGACAAATATGCCTTTGGCACCGTGCGTTCGTTCCAAGCTTTTCTCAACTTTTCGGGCATTACGTTTGAGGAAGGCAAGAGCGACGAGCACTCGTGCAAGCAGCTCCACTGGGTCCCGTACACCAACCCCGCCGAAATCGAGGCGCTCCTGCCCGGGTGGCACCTCCGCCCCAAGAAGACGCCGACACTGACGGCCGCGCCGGCACCGGTGCATGTCTTCTCGAACGACGAGGCTCGTGTGCGCTCGGTGGCGGCTGCGCCGATGCGCCGGAAACAAGCGCCGGACCACGGGATCGAAGCCACGATCTCGCTCGACCACGTGCCGACGCTGACGGGCCCCGTGCTCTTAATGCTCTTCGGCGTCATGGTGTTGAGTGTCATCATGTATGTGAACGGCGATCTCTGACTCAGGACGAAACGCTACTTCCGGCTACAGCACAAGGTGCGCAACTAGCAACTTTCTGTGGCAGTAGACGCCTCATGCAGTAGCTGAGCACTGGATATTTGTATCTACACAGCTCTACAACCACTAGGTCGACGAGACACGGCGATGTGTTTGTATCAATGTATCAGTAAGATAGTCCTACCGAGAAGCCGTCAGGATGGGACTGTACAGGAGCGTGTGGCCAGGGCTCCAGCAGTCAGTTAGCCTATCTAGTTCCCTATTTAGCTCTTCGTGCACTCGCCGGTGTTTGGGAGTACGGTCTCCCTTTGTTTGGAGGCAGGAAAGGTGACAAAGTCGACTTTAGCGACCAAAGAGCGACCAAGTGTTTCGCTCAAGAAGAAGACATGACGACCTCAGGACAAGCGGCGTTGGCGATGAGCGGCGTCGTCGTACTATCGCAGCTGGTGCATCCCGAGTTCAAGAGCATCGCCCGCCGCGACGTGGTCGTGTGGAAGCGGGCGCGTCTCGAATACGAGACCTCAATGCGGCGCGAATGCCAACGAACGAGCCGGAGCTACGCAGCTTGCGGGCCTCGTGGATGGCTCGCAAGAGGCCTTGGCGGGTCGTCAACTGCCGTCCGTGGGCGTAAACGCGCCATGATGGCCCGAAGGGTCTCGATGGGGTTGAGATCGGGAGACAACGCCGACCACTCGAGACGAGCCATGTTCTGGTTTGAAACCACTTGGAAGTCTCGCGGCTGATGTGGATGCTCGCATTGTCTTGCAGAAAGACGAAGCCGTTGCCGTAGTTGCGTGGCGAAGGGCAGTGAGTAGTCCGAGAGTGTTGTGACGTACCAGTACTCGTAGCTGTCCTTGGTGCCCTCCTGAACTCGCAGTTCGGACTTGCTCTTGCTTGAAAATTCGCCCCAAACCACAATGTGATATGTATCACACGCAAAATATGACTTTTTGGTGAAAAATCGTGAATTCTCGTCCGTACATGTCGATGCGTTACAGTCCGACGCTTCTGATAGACCAAAAACCTGCTAAAACTGAGCTGCACAGACAGATTTTCATCTGGTGAACGGAGTGTAGCTAAACTAAATTTATTGCGCGCACTGCAGCAGCAGCCAGGTTCGTCGTTGAGTTGGTCATGTAAAGCATGGGAATCTGCGCAAGTTTGCAATTCGGTTCATGTTCTCCATGCCTTGGAGGAAGCCCGCGTTGGGCGTGAGCCAGTCGAGCTCCACGAGGCCTTCGTGGAACGTGCCGGGCGTGTTGCCAGGATTGTACTGGTAGGCGGACTCGGGGTTGAGCGACCACATGTACCCGCCTGCGTACCGGTCCTGGACCATGACCTCGACGGTGGCGTCCGTCGCGCGCTGCGTCGTCTTGAGCGGGTGCAGGTCCGTCGCGTACAAGCCGGCAAACTCGCCGAGCACGACTGCGGGGTTGTCGTGTACGAGATAGCCAAAGCTGTCTTGCATGACGGCGCGAACGTTCCTCGCCAGCGTCGCGTCATCGAGCTCTTCGAACGTGACCGGGTCCTTGTAAAAGTACGCCATGGGATACACACCCGGCTAAGTCGCAGTCTTAGCCTCCAGAAGATAGAGTGCGAATTACGTTGTAGTAGTGGGGTGCCCACACGAGCTTGTTGGCGGCCATGAGCACGACCGGCGTCTCCTTGGCCTTGTGCAAGCCCGCGCCCCACCAGTCGGCGTACGTGATGTTGGTGCTATCGTCGACCGCGACCGAGTGCTTCTCGGCGTAAATCCCTTCGACGAACGCGAGCCAGTTGGGGCAGCCCGCGAGCATGCGGTTGCCGATCTTGCGCGCGCCGAGGACCCAGTCGGTCGCGGTGCCTGTGCCCCACGTTGCCTTGTGCGGCTCGTTCTTGAGGTCGATGCCAAGCACGTTCCAGTACGCGTCCGAGCACAGACCCGCGGTCAGGAGGTCGATCGAGTCGAGGAAGTCGCTCTCCGAAATGTCGGCGTTGTACCAGAGACCGCCCGAGTTGAGCGGCTGCGGGAGGAGCGCGTGCATGCTGAGCATGACAGTGATCTGGCGGTAGGCGAGCGCTTGAATGAGCGTCTGCAGCGCCGTCATGTACGACGTCAGGTCGAGCGCGCGGTTGGTCATCTTGTTGACCAAGCCTGCTTTCGGCGGGGTATTTTTCAAAATGTGCTGGACGCACACGGGTATCCGCACGCTGTTGAACTTGTGCTTGTCCAGGAACGCAGCCACGTCATACTAGTACAGTGCATTCGCATGACAATATTGACCACATCTTGCGTACCACAGTCGTGCCGTTCTTGTCGTTTTGCCACAAGCCAAACGGAATTGCGTCCATCCTATTGTCTTTCGTTCCGTAGACTGCAAAATGAAACGACCCGACGTACGTCTCCATGCCAAACCAGTTGGTGCCCTTGATCCCGACGGCCACTTCGGTCCCGTTGGGTGCTGCGGCGACGATGCGCCCGTTCTTGCTCAAGTAGTTGGGCAGCTTGCACCCTAGAGGTCGAGTTTCGTTCTCTGTGATTGATGGACGAGGCGGATGTCGTACGTTTTTGGTCGTACGTCATCGGGTTGTTGATGAGTCCGTCCTCGTCCATCTCGTAGCTGCCGTCGCCGATCCATCGCTTCCCAGCCATGCGCTTCTGCGCGGCGACCTTGAGCGCAGCGGACTTTGTGTGCGAGTGGAGGCCACCGACGACAATGAGCACGGCGGCGACGACGACGATGCAGAGGAGCAGGAGCGCCCCCGGCCACCGCCGCAGCCGGCCCTTGTACTCGTGCGGCGCTTCGTCGCGGTCGAGGTCGGCGACCGTCGTGATTTGCATGAGCGGGCGCGCGTCATCGTCGTTCTCGAGCACGGGCGGCTGGTCAAAGAGCGTTTGGCGCACCGAGAACTGGTGGTTGAGGCTCTCAAGGTGCTCGGCGCCTGCCGTCGCCACAACCACGTTGGACGTGCGGTCGTAGCGCTCGATGGTCACGTCGCTGGCCCGGACACCGCCGCTCGTCGACCGGCTGAACGAGTGCCCGAGGTCGCTCTCGCCGACCGTGGTGGTGCCAGTGAGGCACGCCTCGTCATCGCCGTCGACGTCGCCGGGCACGTCGACCTCGAAGCGCGCGGCGCGGTCCTCGCGGGCGAACGCGACCGAGCCGCGCCCGGAGGGCCGCGTATCAAAGGACGGGCGCGCGTCAGTGTTGCGGGACATGGGCGGTCTCTGATGTACTACCCACTGCTGGGGTGCTGGCCTCAACGAGTAGGCTGCCAATCTGAGCCCACGATACAAGCTGCAAGACACGGATCGGCAGCGTTAGCGTTAGCGACGTGCACCTTGCGTGTTACGCCTGCCAGCTGGCGCGCAGGCGCTGGTCGCGCAACGTCACGGCGGCCGCAAACGAGAGGTGGCTGGAGGGTGCTCGCTAATACAGCTCGCTGGTACCGGCACCACCCACTCGACCGCGATCTGCCTTGACCATGCGGATCCAAGCGGTAAGCGTCCAGACCTTCGAAGACGGGCCGCGAGCGCTGTGTGCGTGTACGCAGGTGTAACCGAAGTTCGAAGCATCCCGAGGACAAAAGTTGAAGATGGAAATTTAGCGCCCGACGACGTCGGCACCAGCGTCCATGCAGGAACCCACCGGGACCCGCAGTCGCTTCCATCGCCTTGGCGCCTGCTTCAAGTTTGCGTCAAGTGACGTCCGAGATTTTCGAAGCTGGTCGGTCGAAAAACCGTTTCAGCCAATGAGCGTATGGCGTCGCGATCCGGATACCCAAGGGTCACCGACTTTCGAAAAGCCATATTCTAAAGCATGAGCGGGCACACGCGGGAGATGCACATGACGGCGCCGTTCTTCGGGCGCGAGCCGAGCCCCAAGGCGTACGTGTACTCGAGCGCGCATGCGACGTGGTCGGCCCACGAGCTGCACCTGCTGCACAAGGGCCTGACGCAGTACACGGCCGACGAGCATGACAACGTCACGCGCTACATCAAGATCGCGGCCACGATCCCAGGCAAGTGCATCCGCGACGTCGCCGTCAAGGTGCGCTCGATGCAAGTGTCGCAAGAGAAGATGGCGGAGCCGCCGTCCAAGCGACCGAAGATGGAGCACGCGGTACGCGAATGCATGGTCGCTGCCGAGGTCTCATGCACGCCTAGGACGTGCATGCCGTCGTCTCGTGCGAAGATCAAATCAAGCACAGCCTGCAGGTAGACTGCGCATAGCGCCATCAGCTGACGCACGAATGCAGACCAACGTCAGCGTCATCAACACGATGCGCGCCAACTTGGCGACGGGCGACCTCGACGACAACGTCCAGCTCATGGCGCAGTTCCGCGACTCGTGCCATTCGATATTTAAAAAGTACCATGGCAGTATGCGCGTGTACATAATGTCTGTTATGCTGTAGACTCCACACCGTGTGCTCGGCCGTGCCACCTCTTCAGATCAAGATCGACACGTCGCTGATCCCACTGCACATGCGGTCGCCAAGCAACCAAGACGACGTCTAGTCGACGTCGTAGAGCATGAGGCAAACACGTCGTTCTAACGATGTCTTCGGTCTCGACTCCGACTGCGCTTTCGGTCCCGGCTGCGACTGCGCTTCCTCGCCTCGTCGCGGCGGTCGCTGTGCTTGCTGCGATCCCGACTGTCGCTCGGCGGAGCTCGGTCGCGACTGCGGTCGCGCGAGCTACGAGACCGATCGTCCACTTTGGACGATGAACGGTCGCTAGGAGGAGCGGGACGAGCGTCGGTATTAGATGTGGAGGACCCTTCCCGCGGCTTCTCGACGAGGCGAATCGGCTTGGTGTCGAGTGTCATGTTGCGCTTCTTCTTCTTCGAGTCGCCCGGCATCGGTGGCTTTGGTGTAGCGCCAAGCCCAAGGCGTTGGTGTCGCATCTGCACCTTCGAGCCCGTGGGCTGCACGCGGTCCTTGCCTGACCAGCCCATGCCTCGGAGGAGAGCAGCACCAAACTCCTCGATGGGCACCGCCTCGTACGCGTCGCTGTGAATATCCATGTCGTCGGGGCGCATTGAGATGTCATGCTTGAACTTGTCGTTCTCGTTCGTGAGGTTCTCGAGGCCCGGAAGCTTGTTGCGGAAGAGGATGGGGGCGTCGTCGCCCACAGCCGGCTTTTTGGCGACAGGAATCACCATGGTCGAGTCCTCGGCGCTCTCGCCCATCGCTGACGAGCGAATGTCGGCGAGCAGCGCCTCGGCGGCTGCCGAGTCGGCCTCGGTCGCCCCCTTCTCGGTCCAGGTTTGCTCGATGAGTGGGATCACGAGCTTGGCCTTCGCCGCCACCGGGTCTTTAAGCAGCGCCTTCCCGGACGTGCCAAAGCCGAGGACGAGGTCCTTGCTCGCGGGCGCTGCCGCCTCCTTCTCGACGCGGAAGCCTCCACCGGCCGGCGCGGCCACCGCCGGCTTCTTCTTGCCCTTGAGCGTGAACCCGACCTTCATGCGTTCCGAGAATTCTCCTCGCGCTGGCCAATCGCGATCGGTAGCCGACATCTTTATCAGCCAATCAAACATCAATCACCAGATTCTGGCTGGATGTGGTCGTCGCACGCTGGGGCGCCACCATGATGCATTGGCCGCAGTCCTCATCCCTGCCTGCTTCTGCCCTCTATAGCAGCGTCTCCGGAGATACATCGCACGCACATGCAGTCATGTCGAGGAGGAAGCAGCAAGGGGCAATGGAACATGAGCAAGGATCTGATCTCTCGTTTTGATCGTATTATTATGTTATCCGTATATCCATTATCTTGAAGGGGCACACTACGATCTGAGCGGCCATGTCGAACCGCAGCGAAAGCGTCAAGGTCGTCGTGCGCATTCGGCCGCTGAGCACCAAGGAAAAGCAAGACGGACGCACGTACATCGTCTTCTCCAAGCCCGCCGAGGGCGAGATCTCGCTCAATAACCCCGAGGCCGACGACCGCGAGCCGCCCAAAAAGTTTACGTTTGACGCGTCGTTTGGCCCCGACTCGGAGCAGATCGACGTGTACAATTTGGCGGCGCGCGACATTGTTGAGAGCGCCGTCGACGGCTTCAACGGCACCATCTTCGCGTACGGCCAGACCGGCGCCGGCAAGTCCCACACGATGGAGGGCTACAACGACCCGCCCGAGCTCCGAGGCATCATCCCGAACTCGTTCAAGCACATTTTCGACAAGATTGGGTCGGTCGCCAAGAGCCAATTCATGGTCTGCGCCTCGTACCTCGAGATCTACAACGAAGAGATCCGCGACCTCTTGGCGCCCGACCCGCAAAACCACCTCGAGCTCAAGGAGAACATGGACACGGGCGTGTACGTCAAAGACTTGATCGCGCGCCAAGTCACCGGCGTCGCCGAGATCGACGCCGTCATGCAGCAAGGTACACGTCCATGCGCCACATGGACGACCTTATTAATACGATCTGCGATGTAGGTAAGAAGAACCGATCGGTGGGCGCAACGCTCATGAACCAGACGTCGTCGCGGTCGCACTCGATGTTTATCATCACGGTCGAGACTGCGAGCACGGGCGTTGACGGGAAAGATCACATTTGCGTCGGGAAGCTCAACCTCGTCGACTTGGCGGGTAGCGAGCGACAGGCGAAAACGGGTGCGACCGGCGACCGGATGAAGGAAGCCACGAAGATCAACTTGTCGCTCTCGGCGCTCGGAAACGTCATTTCCGCCCTCGTCGACGGCAAGTCGCAGCACATTCCGTACCGCGACTCGAAGCTCACGCGGCTTTTGCAAGACTCGCTTGGCGGCAACGCCAAGACGGTCATGATTGCCAACTGCGGCCCGGCCGACTACAACTACAACGAGACGCTCTCGACGCTCCGGTACGCCAACCGCGCGAAAAACATCAAAAACAAGCCGAAAATCAACGAAGACCCGAAAGACGCCAAGATCCGCGAGTTCCAAGAGAAGATCAAGGAGCTCCGCGAGGCGCTCGCCGCGCAGGAGAAGGGTCTCGTGACGACCATGGTCGACGGCAAGGAAGTCAAGGTCCAAGCCACGTCCCAAGCGCCCCAAATCGTTGAAAAGGTCACTCTCAACTGTACGTGGTGGAGCTCACATTTGGAATTAGATTGTCGAAAAGACCATTGTGCGTCGGGAAGGCGTCAGCGAAGATGAGCTCAAGAAGCTCCAGGAGGACGCGCTCCGCGAGAAGAACGAGCTCAAGAAGCGAGCGCAAATGGAGATGAAGGCCCTTCTCGCATCGCAGTCCAAGACGGAGGAGGAGCGCGAGAAGCTCGCGGCGCAACTCCACGAGAAAGCACAGGCCAAGGAGCGACTCGAGAAGAAGAAAACCGAGATGCTCTCGCAGCTGGCCGAGTACGAGGAGAAGGTCATCATGGGCGGCCAAGTCCTGGATAAAGCCGCGCGCCAAGAACTCGAGCTACGCGACGCACAGCAAAAGATCGACGAGCAGAAGCGGCAAGAGATGCAGCTCGCGCGCGAGCTCGCCGAGCGCGAAGACTCTAATTTGCTGCTGGAAGAGCAGTTTTCGTCGCTGCAAGAGGAGGTCGACGTCAAGACGAAGAAGCTCAAGAAGCTCTGGGCAAAGCACAAGGCGGCGTCGACCGAGATCGAGGACCTGCGCACGGAATTCCAGGCCGAGAAGGAAGACATGCTCGAGACGATCCGCGAGCTCACGCGCCAGCTCAAGATCAAGCACTTTCTGCTCCACCACTTTGTGCCGCTCGACGACGCGTACGCGATCGAGCAGCGCTCCAAGTGGGACAAGGAGCTCGACGAGTGGAAGCTCGAGCACTTGGAGACGCGCCCGACCAGTCTCCGACCCAAGCGGCCGATCGCACGCCGGGGCGCCCGCCGCGCCGAGACCGAGTGCGCGCGCCGCAACCGCCAAATGGACCGCGGCAACCCGCGCTGGAAGAGCGACAACGTCATTCTCCTCGAGCTCGAGATGCCGGAGCGCCGAACGCGCGACTACGAGAGCGGCATGATGGGCTTCTGGCTCGACCGCATCGCGTCCAACGAAGACGAGTCCGAAATCATCTTCGAGTCCGAGGCGCCCGAGCCTGAGAAAAAAGTACCGGCGGGCCCAACGCTTAGTGACGCCGAGACGGACGCGGTGAGTGCCGAGGTGCGTGCGTCTCAGACTCGCGTCCTCTTACCGTATCATCGCTCTAAATTTAGACAAAGGCCGCCAAGGCGACGGCGACGGCCAAGAAAAGCACCAAGTCCCGGCCCCCCACGGCGAGGTACGTGAAATGGACGAGCTTGTGATTGAACGCTACGTAGTCGGCGCCGACGAGAGAGCGTGGACGAGACGTAGACATCTCGAGTCATCCTCCTGGTTCTCTTCATTGTATGGACAACACGAGCTGTGATTTCCAACTTTTTAAGTGGGCTGCTTTCGCCGTCGGCGCTGCTGGCGCTCCTTCTTGCGTCGGAGGAGCTCCTTTGCCGCCGCGTCCGGGTCGTCGAGTGCAGTGAGGGGAGACACGAGGGGCATGAGGCACAGCGGCGTTGACGTGACGGATGTTTCGACTTCGTCCGCGATCTGCGGGCCTGGAATGTACCAGCTCGACTCGCCCGTCACCGAGTTGTAGAAGAAAACGTCGCCTTCGTCCGTTTGGCACTCAATCCACGGGTTGTCTACACATGTCGCTACTACTATAAACGACCGGATGCAATATCAAATGAAATGTACCCGGGGGTGGGTCCATAAGGGCGACGAGGTCCCAATGACCGGCGGCGCGGGCAAGGGCGTCGGCGGTGATACCTTGCACGTCGGCGATACGCGGGTTCGCGTGGTGTTCCAAGAGTGCACGCGCAATATCCAGCAGCCTAATTTATGTATCAACTTGATAGTTTTGGTGGTCCATGGCACCCGTGCTGAACCGCGAGGAGGAGCCCTGTGCTCCCGTCACTGGCAGGCCAGTCGATGAGGCTCGGAGCAACACCGCAGAGGTACGTGACCGTGTCGAGGCCGTAGCAGTACATACTTGCGCAGTGGAGCGTCGAGTACCCTCGGTCGTCCACGTCCAAGAGGTTGGCACCCAGCTCAAAAAGCAATTGCAGCATCTGCGCAAATCACACGTGAGCAATAGAGGAAGGCGCCAAGTATGTACTTTGGTTTCGCCCATGGCCGCCGCCGCCAGCACCGCCGAGACGCCGCCGCCATACCGCGCGTGCACGTCGACGGCGAAGTCGAGAAGGAAGAGCCGCACAATGGCCGTCTCACCCGCCGCGCTCAGCAGGAGCATGGGTGCCTCGCCCCTACGGCGTCATGAGCGCTCGCCCCCCGCACTGCGATGGCTCACTTGGCGTTGGCTGCGTAAGCGTCGGCACCGTAGTGCAGCAGCAGGCGGAATACGTCGAACGGAGCACCCATCTTGCACGCGACTAGGCCGCAACATAATCAACAGCACAAAGCCTCGATTGAACGCACCGAGCAGCACCGAGTTGCCGTCGATGTCAGTGTTGGTGATGGCGGCCGGGTGCGACTGCACGATCGCTTCCAGCTCGTCGACGTCACCGCCCCTTCGCTACGCAGAGGAGGTTCATCGACAGACGAAGCGCATCAAACGACGTAGTACGAGGCAGGCGCCAATGGCTTCTGTCACCTCCGCACCCGGCGGCGCACCGAGGCAGAAAATGGCTTCGCCGAGCGCGCTGATCCACGCGTTGCGCTCGTCGTGCGACTCGGCGCGAAAGGTGACGCAGCTCTGCAACGTGACGACCTGGAAGCAGTCGTCGTCGAGCGGCGCGACCCGCACCACCGTCGTAAACGGCACCTGGTTGTGCTCGTCCTGGAGCGCGTGCGCAGCCTCGCGCCACTAGACGTTTTTGTCAGCGGCTCGCGCACTGGATTGCAACCGTACCTCGAGGCTACTCGCCGCAATCTCGCACCAATACTGGCGCGGTGCGCCCAGTTCGAGGCGGCGGGGACGGCGGGTGCCACGACACGTCTCGGCGTGGCGCTCGAAGTCGTCGAGCGACGTGACCCAGGCGTCGCCGCAGCAATCGCATCGGCGTGGAAAGGAGCCACCCGCGTCGGCGCTGTTGGAGCCTTCGCTGGGAAACTTCCAGAGGAGCCCAAAGCCGACGCTGGGCCGCGCGGTTGCCTCCTCGCACATCATCCTCCGCTCGCAATAAGCTCTTTGTACTTATAGTACGGTTACATCAGGCGTTGCAAATCGATGTGTCTTGGCCCCAACAGGACCAATGCTGGACCTTTCAAGACAATAATGTCATTACAAGCTTTGCACAAACTCGGACGTCGACGCCATGTAGCCGGCGCCAATGCGATCCATCGCGCGCATAACGGCGTCGTGTTCGTCGCTGGTTTCAAAGGCGATCGCATCTTCGAGGACGATGGTGGCGTACCCGCGGTCCATCGCACCGCGCACCGCAGCTTCGAGGCTGCCGAGCGTCGAGACGCCCGTGACAACGACGCACTGGACGCCGAGGTTCCGCAAGAGGTAGTCGACGTTCGTGGTGCCAAAATGCTAGCATAGCATAAGACACATCCGTTGACGTTCCGACGTACCTCACGGCCGTGCGGGGCACGACCACGTCGGCTTCGAGGGGCGAGACATCGTCGAGCACCTTGGCCTCGAAGCTGCCCCGGGGCACGTGAATGCCCGCGATCTTGTGTGCTTTGCTCCGATCGCGGCCCGTTTTGGTCGCGCTCTCGATCGTGCCGTAGATGATGTCGTAGTTGCGGGCGCGAAAGGCCTCGAGGAGCCGCTGGACGTTAGGCACGACGACCTTGCGCAGCCGGTCAAAGTAGTAGGCGTTCAAACTCTCTTGGTTGGCAAACTTGCCCACGTGCGGCATCGCGCAGTAGTACTGCATGTCGAGGACGAGAAGCCCCGTCGCGAGGGACGTCATCCCGTCTGGCTTGGTGTCAAAGCGCGGAGCTGCGCGTGGCGAGATGCATTTCGTGTCGAGGTGCGGCGTCCCGACTGCCACCGCGACCGCCGACGGCAGTGGCACCGCCTCGCAGAACAAGGCGGGTGTCGTCGATGGCTCGGGCGACACAAACTTGGTCATGCTCGCTTCTTTGGCGAGTCGACTGCGTAACAAGAGCGTGGCCTCTCGCTGCTGGCGCTCGCGGTCTTGCTGCTTGAGGAGCGCTTCGGCCTCGGCGAGTTGCCGCCGCTTCTCGGACGCCTGCGCGTCGAGGACAGTCGAGGCCTCAGCGGCGTTCAATAGCACGATGGCAATGTGCATGCACATGGCGTCCGAATCGCCGAGCAGATCCAAGAGGTACTGCGCCGTCTCGAAGGGCGCCATGACCGCTGGAATCCGCGACCGAAGGGCCGCACGCTGCAGACCGGCGTCCATGACAAAGGCCAGCTGCGGATTCTCCTCGTCGGTGTTGGCGACGATGAGACCGATGGCGCCAGCCTTTTGAGCGTGTATCGTCTTGGTCACAAAGTCACACGTGCCTCGCTGCATGAGCACGATCTTGCCGGCGACGGCCTTGGCGTTGCGCAGTGGCGTCTCGCCCGAGATGGGGTCAGCGACGACGAGCGCGCCTTCGAGGCGTGGCGTCGCATACGCCGAGCTAAACTCGGCGAGCGGACAGTAGTAGAGGTCGCCCTGGACGTCCACGAAGCTGCAGAGCATGCTCATATTGCCCTTTCATGTGCAAACCTCTGGAAACACATAGATACACCACCTGCCACAATCGATGCGTGTCGTTTCCTCAAGAAAAAATCTGGCGCCATTTCACGCGGCAGTTCTCAGAGTGTCTTATATCTCGGGTCGTCTTCAGCAGTACGGGCTGCGGTTGCATGCTCACCAAAGTCAGCCACCTCCTCCCGGCGACGTGCACGAATGTCCCCAACGTCATTCACGTGACGGCCAAGGCCCAGCAACGGTCAGCCACATGGCTGCCTCGTCGAAGACATTGTCGAAGGCTTCATCCACGACAAAGACCATGCGGGCACGATCCATATCTGGGCGCTCGGTGTCGTCCGCGTCATGGGCAGCCGGCTCCACAAGTGATCACGGGTCACGTTTACATTCCGTCCGCCGCCGAGATTTCCGGCAAACTCGCCTTCTCCGGTGGTTCGTATGCCTCGCGCTCGGCTTCTTCGCAGGTTTCTTCGTCGGGTTCCTCGGGCTCTTGGCGTACATTGCGTCGGCGGCCGTCTCGGTGAGCTATGTCGCCGACTGTCTCGCAATGCAGTGGACCTCGCCGGTGGCTACAAGCCCGTCTTGTGGTTTGTCTTGTACGCGGTCGTGATCGCGATGTTGCACCTGCGTGGTAAGTGTACATGTAGCGCTTCATGGTGCTCTCTGCCCTCGCGTGCCTTGTGCCGAGCGTGCTCTCGAACCTCCGACGCGCCAACTTGAGCGTTGTACGGTGCGCTCTACGACAATACAACGACAAGAAGCAGCTACAGCAACGCGACGTCGCCGGGTCCGATTTAGGCCTTGGGGCTCGGCGTGCTTTGCGTCCATGCCGTTCACGTCGTGGCAGTAGGCTGGGCTCGATTGTGCACGCTTGCTGCAGCTTGCCGACCCAAAAAAGATCACAAAATGACATTGCCGTACATTGTACTAGTACATAAGATTCGCTGTCGTCTCGCTGCTACTCTTCGAGTGTCTCGTCTTGAATTACTTTTACACGATTGGAAAGCACGTGCACACGCTCTCGAAGGACAATGACGCACCCGTCTTATGCTTCTCGATCAGAAAGTACAACCATACGCGCGCCAAGCAGCTCAAAGCAGTCAAGCTCAAGGCGGCCAAGCGGTCCGGCGCAACTAGCTCCTAGACCGCCGGTTGGAAGTCCAGGTCTAACGAGGCGGTCGTCATGGCAGTGGAGCAAGAGACGGATGAGACCGTCCTCGAAGCCACTAGGTATAGGGCTCATACTGGCCGCATGCGCTTATCCTACCGGTATCTGGATCACGCGGACGCCAGGAAGAAGGCGATTGCTTCCTGGGGTTCTACTACTCGCATACTGCATGCACTTTGACTCTTGGATAGCGCAGAAGCAGCGATGGACAACGAGGCGATGGTGGCGAAGGGGAACTGCAAATATGACGTGGCACTCGTGTTGTCGAGACGGCTTCCAGAGACACCTCGTATATCTAACTTAGCGGGAGAGCACCTGGATCGTGTCCAGAATGTCGGCAAACTCAATGTCTTCCTTGAACTTCTTGGGGCGCATCTGGTTCTCCGAGTTGGGCGTCACAACGTACGACGCGTCCTTGGTCGTCCAGCCGAGCTCTAGAGCACGTGAATGGTGAGGTGCTGCAGACGATGCGGGCGACGGCATACCGGCGACGAGCGACGCCACGTCCTTTTCTGACAAGTTCAGCTGGGCCTGCACAAACGCCTTGGCGACCACTTCGTGGCTCTTGGCAATCGTCGACAGAATGAACGCGCGCACGGCCTGCTCGAAGCCAGGAATCTTCTTGGCGAACGGCAAGTCGAGCGTCCAGAAATCCTACGTGGCGAATGAGACCTTGCGGCCTTCCAAGAAGAGAGGCGCACCGTGAACAAGCACGACTGCAAGACGTCGCCGGCCTTGAGCAAGTCGGTAATGTTCTTGTCCTACAAGATGCGTGAGCGACCATGGTCGCGGTAATGACAGGACGGACCTTGCGCAGCGCCTCCGTGACCATGTACGTGGCACCAAGGAAGTACTTGGACGGCAACGCCATGAGGCCCTTGGCGAGCACCTGGGCGACGCGCGTCTGGTGCTGCTCGGGCTTGACCGGGTAGATGGTGTAGAGCTTGAGGAGCATGAGGTTGGCTTCCTCGTCGACGACGTTGCTCGCGATTTGCTCGTCCAGGTAGGCCTCGAGGAGGCCGACGAGCTTCTCGTCCATGCCATCGGCGGCGACCTGCGCGCGGACCGCGGTCGCGGCCTTGGACGTCGCGTCCTTCTCAAAGCTCACGAAGCGGCTCATCTCAATAAGATAAAATGGGCTGGCGCGGAATTAAATAGCTCAAAATCGTTGCTTTTGAAGGGCGTTCTTTTTAAAATGCCACGCGGTACATACAAACAACAACTGTCTTTTATTCCAGAGACCGATGGAGGACTCAGAAATAATATCCTGCAATTGAGTGGTTCGTGCCCATTGACCTCCCATAACAAATACCATGTGGTCATTCAATGCTACAGGTTTTCGATGCGTTCTAGTAACGAGATATAAGTGTGATTATAACGAGGGACTTGAACATTTGAATCCTCCAGCGGGGGAATTCAAACGGCCAAGAACCGCAGCGGCAAGCGCAGCATGGCAGACGTGGACATGGAAGACATCAGCACGATGGACGAGGTCGACGAAGATGCATCGAACATGGAGGTAGACGCTCCGATGGCACCTGCGTCGCCGGCGCGGCCCGAGCACGCGGTCGCCCCGAGAGACGCGGCGAGCCAAGACCCCACGACCCCGATGCAGACGCCGGCCAAGAAGACGGTCCGGCCGTCCATGGTACCCGAGACGCCGAGCTACTTTACGCCGTCGAAAGGCAAGGTGGCCGTGGCCGCGGGGCCGCGGCTCATGATCACAAAGCTCGAGGTCGAAAACTTCAAGTCGTACGCCGGTGTACGCGAGATCGGTCCGTTCCACAAGTGCTTTAGCTCGGTCGTCGGACCCAACGGCAGCGGCAAGAGCAACGTAATTGACGCGCTCCTCTTTGTCTTTGGGAAGCGCGCGAAGAAGCTGCGTCTCTCCAAGGTCTCGGAGCTCATCCACAAGAGCAGTCTCTTCCAGAACCTCAAGGAAGCGCGCGTCTCGGTCTTCTTCCAGGACATTATCGATACAGGCGACGGCGACGACGACTACACCGTCGTGCCCAACTCGCAGCTCGTCGTATCGCGCACGGCCAACAGCCAGAACCAGTCCAAGTACTACATTGACGGGCAGCTCTCCAACTTTACCGAAGTCACGTCGCTTCTCCGCGAGCGTGGCATCGACCTCGACAACAACCGGTTCTTGATTCTCCAGGGCGAGGTCGAGCAGATTGCGATGATGAAGAGCAAGGCCGAGAACCAGCACGACGAAGGCCTCCTCGAGTACCTCGAAGACATTATTGGCTCCAACCAGTACGTCGCGCGGACGGAAGAGGTCATGAAGGACGTCGACGCGCTCAACGAAGCGCGTCTCGAGAAGCTCAACCGCGTCCGCGTCGTCGAGAAGGAGAAAGAAAACCTCGAAGACGCCAAGACCGAAGCCCAAGAGTACCTGGAGAAGGAGCGCGACGTGTACCTCAAGACAAACATCTTATATCAGCTCTATCTGCGCGAGTCGACGGCCAACCTCGAAGAGTGCACGCTCAAGCGGGACAAGCTCAAGGAGAAGCTTGACAAGGAGTCGGAGCGCATGGCCACGCACCGCGCCAAGCTCGAGGTCGTCTCGAAGGAGTACAAGGTCGTCGACGACGCCTTCCAGAAGGTCAAGACGGACCTCGACACGGTCGAAGCCGAGTTTGCCGAGTTTGAGAAGCGCGACGTCAAAGTGCGCGAGGACCTCAAGTTCTCCAAGAAGCAAGCCAAGGAGCTCGCGGCCGCGCGCGCAAAGGAGGTCGAGAAGCACGATGGCCTCGTCGAGACCATGGCCGAGCACGAAGCGGCGATTCCGGACGTCGAAGTCGCGATCGCGGCAGCCGAGGCGGCGCTCGAGAAAGAAGAGGCAGTCTTGGACGAGATCCTCGAGAGCCACAAGGGCGAGGCCGCGCGCATGCGTGTGGGACTGGAAGAGAAACAGAACGCGCTCGCTCCGTTCCAGCAAAACCTGCTCAAGATCCAGTCGACGATCGACACGCGCAAGACGGAGATCTCGCTGATCCGCCACAACATGGAGAAGGCCCAGGAAGACATTGCGAAGAACAAGGCGGCCATCAAGGACGCCGACAAGAAGAACGTCGAGCTCACGACCCAAGTGGAGACGATGGAGACCGAGCTCGTCGAAATGACCGACCGCGTCGCCAATGCGCGGGCCGACCTCCGCGAAGCCGAGACCCAAGAACGGTCGGTGAGCGCGCAGTACCAGGACGCCCGCGCGCGGGCCGACGACGCGGCCCATGCGGCGCAGAACCAAACCGCGCGCAACGACATGCTGACGAAACTCACGGCGGCGTCGCGTCCGGGTGGACCCCTCGCCGACGCCGGCTTTGTGGGGCGACTCGGCGACCTCGGCGCGATCGACGCCAAGTACGACGTGGCCATTACGACGGCGTGCGGCGCCCTCAACAACTTGGTCGTACAAACGACAGCTGGCGCGCAAAAAATTGTACAGTACCTCCGCACGCACAACCTCGGGCGTGCCACGTGCATCATCCTCGAAAAGATCCAGAATTTCCGGTCCCAAGCCCACGGCCCCCCGCCCGAGACGCCGTACCCGCGGCTCTTTGATCTTATCCGCGTCAACGACGAGGCGCACCGCGTCGCGTTTTACTTTGCGATCAAGGAGACGCTCGTGGCGCCGAACATCGAGGAAGCGAATGCCGTCGCGTTTAGCGGCCCGCGCTACCGCGTCGTGACGCTCACGGGCGGTTTGATTGAAAAGTCGGGCGCCATGTCGGGCGGCGGGAAGAGCGCGCGCAGCGGCGGCATGTCGAGCCGGCTCTCGGCGCCGGCCATGTCCCATGAAGACGTGCAGGCGCTGCAGCGCGAGGCTGAGAGCGTCAAAGCCACGCTCTACAGCATCCGCAGCAACCGGTCGAGCTTGGAGAACGAGCTGCGGTCGCTCGAGGCCAAGATCGAGTCGCACAAGCGCACGCTGCCCAAGCTCGCGATGGAGATTGACGCGTCCAAGCACCGCAAGGCGACGATGGCCGCGCGCATCAAGGAGCTCGAGAAGCTCGTGCACCTCTCGCCGGAAGAGACGAAGCGCATCAAGTCGCTTGAGAAGGAGGTCGCTGCGAAGGAAGCCGAGTACGACAGCCACAAGGACGAAGTCGATGCGATGGAGGCCGAAGTCAAGCAGATGAAGAGTGCGATTTTGAACCTCGGCGGCGAGAAACTCAAGAAGCAGCACAAGAAGGTCGAAGCGACGCGCAAGGAGATCGACGCCAAATCCAAAGAGCTCACGAAGCGCCGCGTGGACCTCAAGACGGGCAAGAAGAACCTCGAGCGGTCGGTGGCCACGCAAGCCAAGCTCGCGGCCGAGATCGACGCCACGAAAGCGCGACTCGAAGCGCTGCGCGCCGAAGCTAAGGAGATTGAAGACTCGGCGGCGGCGGTCTCGGATCGCCACGAAGCGGCGCGGCAGCTCATGGAGGAGCACACGAGCGTCATGAACGACAAGCTCCAAGAGTTCAACACGCTCAAGAAGACGGTGGACGAGATGGCGTCCCGCGAAGTCGACTTGCTCAACAGCTACGACGAGTGCCTCGTGGTCTTGTCGGAGAACGAGAAGAAGGTCGCGGCGTGGTCGGGCGAGCTCACGTCGCTGCGCGCGCGGTTCCAAAAGGACGAGGAGGACATTGTGCTCATTTGCGGGCCGCCTGCCGACGACGACGACAACAACGACGACGACGACGACGAGAGTAACGCGGTTCGCCACGAGGGGCTGCCAGTCTACGACGCGGCGGCGCTATCTCGCTACTCAAAGGAAGAGATCAAGTACGAGCTCTCAATATTAACCGAGCAGCGCAACGAGCTCAAGGCCAACGTCAACATGGGCGCGATCGCACAGTACAAGAAGAAGGAGAAGGAGTACATCGCACGCAGTACCGAGCTGCACGCGGCGACGGACGCGCGCGACGCCAAGCGCCGCGAGTACGAGGAGCTTCGCCGCAAGCGCCTCGAAGACTTTATGGACGGCTTCCGCGCGATCACGCTCAAGCTCAAGGAGATGTACCAGATGATCACGCTCGGCGGTGACGCGGAGCTCGAGCTCGTCGACTCGCTGGATCCGTTCTCGGAAGGCGTCGTCTTTAGCGTCCGGCCGTCGAAGAAGAGCTGGAAGAACATTTCGAATCTGTCGGGCGGCGAGAAGACGCTAGCATCGCTCGCGCTCGTGTTTGCGCTGCACCACTACAAGCCGACGCCGCTGTACGTCATGGACGAGATTGACGCGGCCCTCGACTTTAAGAACGTCTCGATCGTCGGCAACTACATCAAGCAGCGCACCAAGAACGCGCAGTTTATCATCATTAGTCTGCGCAACAACATGTTTGAGCTCGCGGACCGCCTCGTCGGCATCTACAAGACCAACAACACGACCAAGAGCGTCACGATCAACCCCAAGCACTACGCCGGACTCGCCGAGCCGACGCCCATGACGCCCTTCAAGACGCCGATGAAGACGCCGCACCAAGAACGGCGGCGCTAAGAAGTCACATACGAGTAACAGTTGTGTATGTGATGATACCCCTCGCACGTTGCTCCATACGGTTGGATCACAACCAGCATCGCCTCGGCTGGCCTAGGGAGCGTACCAAACGGTGGCATCGGTCTATTGCGGCTCGAACACGCACAGCGCACTGTCGGGGTTCGACTGCGGAACATGGATGCAGCGCACGAAGAGGTGACGCCTTCCGACCACAGAGCCAACGAGTGAAGAGCCGGCCACCAGCAGTGGTCCGACCACGGCAGCAGAAACAGGGCGCGCTGTGGAGCGCTGTTGTTGGTGCAGCCAAGCGAGAGGAGAGTGCGCTGCGGCGGACGACAACCTGTCTGCGTTGAATGGGCTGCGACGAGAGGTCGAGTGGTACTATATAATATGTGAGGTTTACGCGTCCGTCGTCGCCGTCGTCGTCGTCTGTGCTGTCATGACCGACTCGACCATGCCCATGACGCTCAGGATCGATGCCTGTGTCGCCATCTCTTCCTTGATTCTGGCCTGGAGCTTGAAGAAGAGGCCTTCGAGCACGACGCTCGACTGGTTCGTGCCCAGCAACGGGCTGTAGAGCTCGATGAGGTACGTGCAGACGCGAAGCAGCAGCGGCGCGTACTTGGGGTCGGCCACATACCGGATGCAGAACGACATGAGCGGCTCCAACGTCTCTTCCGTGCGGTACGTCAGCGCCTTGTGCCAGCCCGACCGAAGCCGGAGCTCCTCGAGCATGCTCGCGACGACCGTCGGGTCGCGCGTGTCGAGCGCGTCGTCGAGGGCCTTGCGGTAGTCGAACGCGCGCAGCGCCTTCTCGTACGGCGCACAGCGCACGTTGCGGCGCGCCGTGACGACGTGGTCGGCGTCCGTGGGCTTGGCCTGCGCGCCACGCAGAAAGTACTTGTACGACCCGCCACGCGGCGCCGGGACTTCTTCGTCGAGCTTGATCGCGTTGGCCTCCGTGAAGATGCGCTTGCGGACCGTGAGCACGCCGTCGGCCGTGCCGACCGCGAGGTGCGAGTTGGACGGCGTCATGGCCAGCGAGAGCACGCCCTGCTTGTACTTGAAGCCATGCACCACTTCGTACGACGCGAGGTCGTAGATCTTGACGTGGCCATCGAGCGAGCCCGAGAGGAGGCGCGTCTTCTGGCCGTCCAGCGCCAAGCACGTGATGGTCTTTTGGTGGGCCGAGAACGAATGCAGGAGCTTCCCGCCCGTAAGGAGGTCCCAAACCTTGATTTCGTTCGAGCCCGCCGAGATGAGGAGGTTGCCGCCCGGCAGCATGACACACGCTTCGACCGGCGACCCGTGGTCCATCGAGAGCGTCGACTTGGCAGTCGCGCTGCGCGTATCCCAGAGCTTGACCGTGTGGTCGTACGACGCCGACGCCCAGACGTTGGAGGAGGTCGGATGCGGCGCGCAGACGCGGACGTAATCCGTGTGCTCGCCGTAGACTGCGACGGGCGACCCGGTCGCGAGGTCCCAGAGCCGGCACGTCTTGTCGTCCGAGGCAGAGAAGATGTGCACGTTGTCGTTGGAGAACTTGGCCGCGCGGACCGCACCCTTGTGGCCGTTGAGGTTGCGCAGCACGGTGCGCGAGCCGACGTCGAGGACCGCGACTTGGCTGTTGGCATTACCCGTCACGAGGAGCTTGCCGTCGCCGCGGAAGGCCGCCGAGTACACGACGTCGTGGAAGCGCGAAAACGTCTTCTTGACGTCGTTGTTGCTCGTGCTGTAGAGCTGGACGCGCGTCGAGGTCGCGGCCGCAAAGTCGAACGGCGCGACCGGGCTCGCATCGATGCACGTGACCGCGGCGACCTGCGGCAGCTCCGTCGGCGCACGGAGCTTGGTCCAGTATGTCTTCTCCGGCGACGACTGCTTGGTCGCCGTCGGGAAGTGCTTCAAGGGCAGCTTCTTGAACTCCATCTTGGGCGGGCGCGGGTGCTTCTTGAAGTTTGAGGCCGACTCCAATAAGACTGCTGGCCAGTGGTTGGCCAAAGGTCCAATCATTGGTCGAGATACCGACCTCTGGAAACCCATACCCAGCCCCATACATCGCCCATATGCAAAACACGCAACTCGAAGCATAAATCATCTGCCACCGACGGCCTTAAGTGGCGTGCAAGCAGACACTTCAACTTGCCCACCAGCGCGGGTGGAGACGACCTCCATACGCATAGCGTGTACCTCGCGCGAGCCAAGTACGTCCTTGCAGGTGACTATACATGCTGTGCAGAGTCTACCTTGTACTACGTAGTGCCAGTGCGAGAGGCTCTTGGGCGACATTTGACTGTTGAGAAAACCTCTTATATTGAATCCATTGCATAACAAAATGCTTGATATATATTCTCGCAGTATTGCTACCTCGGATCCCATTCCAGCATGGCTTACCAAGGTCGCCGGCGCCAACGCGTCCTCGTGCCCGACGAGCCGAGCGCTTCGATTGCATCGTCGACGCAAGATGAGGATGACATCAAAGCTACCTCTGCCTTCCATGGCCACGCTAGCTCGGTACCGGAGCGTCCAAGCACCGCACGCCTCCTGCCGCTCGAGACAGGTACGACGACGCAACCACGAGAGGCGTGCTCACCGATGCGCAGAGGACCTAAGTGCCTCAGAGCCAAGCATGGCGGACCGTGTCCGAGCCAAGCTCCTGCGCAAGCCCGACGCCAAGCCTACGACGAGGCCAGTGCAACCAACACGCCAGAAGGTCAAGCTCGTGGTCGAGCCCTCCAAGACGCCTACCGCAGGAAAAGCACGGACGCGGCTGCTCATCAACACGATCGGACGTGGTGTCGACGCAGCGAGCTTGCAGCGCGCCTTGACGGCGACGACCAAGCGGGTCCAGTCGCGCGAACTCGGTCGACGAAAAGTGGCAAAACCGCAGCATGCATTAACACAAAAAGACTAGAAGTAGATGGCTTCTCACGGCGCTACCCGTGGCTGGAACCGAATCGTGGGCCGGATCGAGAGCGCTGGTTCGGTCGTCGGCGCGGCATCGACGGGCGATGCCGGCGCGACGTGGCCAACCAGCGCCTCGCCGCCAGACCTGCCCTTTGGCAGCTCGTGCTTCATGCGGCAGTCGGCGCCGTCAGGGCAGTACCCCCGCAAGAAGGCGTCGCAGATCGCTGCGTCGTGGCTCACGTTGACATGCCGGAACGGACAGTCCTCCCGCGAGCACATGCCCTTCAAGAAGCGTGTGCACACGGGCATCTTGTTCTACGCCGCGTGAGCATTACGCCAGGAGGCCCATGAATACTACCTGGTCGCGGACATGCGACAGTCGGCATGCCTTGTCGTCGCATGCGCCGCGCAGGAATGGGCGGCACACGGCGACCTTGCGGCTGTCGTGGATGAACGGGCATGCATTCTGCTTGTTGCAGACGCCTAATGGCAGGTCGTTGGAAGCAGGCATCGCTACGTCAGTGCGTACCAAAGCGGTTGTAGTACCGGCAGTACTCGGTGCGCGTCGTCGTCGCAGACGATGGCGACCTAGAACGAAGAAACCGATGCGCCCACCGCGACGACCTTGGAGGCGCGTACGGCGAAACAAAGAGCCCGCTTCGCGGCCGGACAGCAGCTGACACGGCGCTGTTGGACGTGTTGAAGTTCTGGCTCGGCGACCTACAAGGAGTCGTGATGGTCGGGCACGCCGTCGCGGCAAGAGGGATGCAGTACGGCAACGGAGCCACCGCCTAGGCCAGATCCCGTCATGAGACTACATCGCAACAAGGAACGCGAATCGATCGCACATGGACCGCTGGAGCAGGCGGCGACGCGTCCGGCGCCTTCCACGTCAAGTTGCGGGACTTTGGCAACGGTCGGCGCGACTGGTAAGGCGCGTACGCTGGCCGCGGGTACGCGCTCGGCCGCGTGCTGAGACTCAGCGCGCATCGTCGAGGCGCCGCCTTCGCGGGCGGCGATGACGTTCTTGAGCGCAGCGATGCGAGCGCGGACGATCGCTTCTTCCGTCGTCATGGCCAGTCGTAGAGGCTCCTCGAAAATGGCCAAACTGGCTCACAACAGCGTGTTTTACGGTGTTTTCCCGGAAACGTTTCATTTTACCGTCTTTTTATCGTCAGTCGGCAACCTGCAGAGCGAATCTGCGCCCGAGTTGGCCATCGACCAAATCGAGTCGCTACTTAGCATGGCCTTCCGCCCCGGCGAGGCGAGACGCATGATGACCAAGGCCGAGGAAGCCAAGGCGAAGGCCAAGCTGCTGCTGCCGCCATGGATGCGCTCGTCGAGCGACCATGTCAAGTCGGCCATGCGCAAGCGGACCGAGTCGATGAGCGCATCGACCGAGTCGCGCGAGGCCATCATCGCGCGCTGCCTTGCCATGCTGACGTCCATCTTTCCGTCCTGGGAGGAAGACTCGCTGCGGACCATCCTCGAGGCGCATGGTATACAGTGCATGTGCATCATCTTGCCACCCATGGATTCGATGCTAGAGTACGTGATTGACGACACGATCACGACCGTACTGCGCATGGAGGAAGAAGAAGAAGAAGCCTCCAAGCGCCTGAGCTTCTATGAACCGCCAAAGCACCTCCGGTACACCCCCAAGCACCCGATCCCAGACGACTTTCTTCGCGTGCGTGGTTTGGGCCCCCATTCTTCTCATTTGCTCAAGTATGAAGCAGGTACCGGGCTACCTCGAGCCCGAGGGCGACGGGGACACGGACGCCGACGACGCGGGCCGCGAGAGCATCGACGACTTTGACATGGCGTCGTCGCGGACGCTGCTTCCGCTCACGTCGACGATCGCCGAGGACGACGGGACGATCTACGGCAAGGAGTTTGCTGGTGCTACCAGCGCCGACGACGAGGCCAAGTTGCCGCCGCCGACGGACGCTCCCGAGGTAGCTGCATGCTTTCTTGCTTGTATGAATATGTATATCTCTAGGCGCGGGTAGCCTTTGTGGATCCGAACGCCAACCCCGAGGTGCTGCAGCAGAAGAAGACGCGCCCCAAGTCGCGCACCGACACGCTGTTTAGCCAACTCACGGTCATCAAGGTGCCTCTGCGTCCGCTTGTCGAAAAATAACGCGAGATTTTCGAGTGTAGCGCAGCAAGCTCGACATTGTCGGCGCGGAAGACCGGATTCGAACCCGCGAGCCGCACCGCGTCCTCGACTGTCTCTCCAAAGCGAGCGTGCTCTACCGCAACGGACTCATTAGCAGCATCGAGCTCGAGACGTTGCGGTCGCTCATCCTGCGCAAGATGCAACCCACCAAGATGGTACGAATAATACCTCCTCGACAATGCAACAACCTACTGGATATGTAGCTCATGGACACGTCGGTCAACATGAACGCCGAGACGATCACAGACCACGAGTGGAACGGCCTCGTGCTCAAGGCCAAAGGTAAGGCGCCCCGACGACCCGTGCTTAACGCTGCGGTAGGCCTCCGTCAAGCGCTCTCCATCCGCATCATCAAGACCTTTCTCGTCGGTCAGCACACGGCAAGAAGCTCCTTCGCCTTCCTCTCTGAACGGCGGTCTCGTAGGAGTACGAGATTCGCACCAACGACCTCGAGACGGGCGTCGTCGTCGTCACGCGCAAGCGGTTCCGTGAGCTCCACAAGCTCCACCGCAAGGTACACCGGCGTCCGCATCTCCCGTGTCAAGCTTCTCGTAGCTGAGCCCGCTCTCGGCCCGCGTGAGTGCATTTCCATTTCCGACGCGCCACACGGTCTCCAAGAAGGAAGATTGGCGTCTCGCGTCGCAGCGCCAGCCATTGCTGGAAGCCTACTTGCGGCTCGTTGCGTCTCTGGTGACGCCGTCGCCTCTCACGAGCGACCGGGCGACGGCGTTGCAGATGCTGCAGTCGTTTCTGAACCTCCCGTCGCCGTCGACGCTCAGTAGCAAGACGACGCTGCCCTGGACGCGCGTGCTTCGTGTTTACGCCTTCCATGTCCTCAACGACGGCACGACGCCCGAAGGCAAAGTCCTCAAGAAAATGACGATCCAGTCGCTCGATGACCTCGGCGACTGCCTCGACAACGTCCAAGCGTACATGCTCGAACACCGCTTCCAGGACATGAAGGCGCTTCTGCCGTTGCCACCCGACGACGACGACGTGCTGCACGAGTGGATCTCGGATGCGATTCGACACGAAGTCGAAGAGATGGTGTGCATCCCGGTGCTGCCGTCGCTCCTCTCGCGTCTCCAAGCCTCGGTCGCCGACCGCGAGCGCGTGGTTTTGGGCCACATGAGTGCACTCCGGGCCAAGCCGCAGAGCTTTTTTGGCATTCCGCTGCACCGCATTAGCGTGAGCTCGTGGGTGCGGCCGATCGAGACGCTCCGAGACGTGGATGCAATGACGCTGCCACTCGACAAGCACCGGAGGCTCGTCGAGGCCGCGATGCTCGTGCACATTGTGTACCAGGAGGAGCACGACGGCGCCGACGTCTTGAGCGGCGACGACTTTTTGCCCGTATTTATATACGTGATCGTCCAGAGCCGTCTTGGAACCCCGGTCGCCTTGCTCCAAGCACTCAACGTCCTCTGTGACCCCGAGAAGCGCATTGGCCAGAACGGCTACTACCTCGCGTCGTACGAAGGTATCAATCTATCGAGCATCGAGGCGTCATTTCTGATGGCTTTGTAGCGGCCCTCGAACACTTGGCGTCGCCCAACTGCCTCACGTCGCTCGCGTGTGCCGACGAGGCAGGTGACGGGCAATAAGAACAAGCAATACTGCATACTAGTACACAAGAGCACCGTAGACGTCGTCAAGGCCTTCACCAGTAAATCTCGGTTCTGGCACATCCAGCAGTTGGATCCATACACTGTTTGTATCGGAAAGGACCACAAACGTGGCATATTGGTTGAACGAGTAAGATCGTAGTCGGACGTGGGTGTATTAGAAGATGTTACATGCCGGTAGCTGTAGCACAGAGACAAGTGTGTTCCCTCCCTCGTTATGTACCTGGTAGTAGGTCGCACTGCTACCCTGGGTGATGCTGGGGAGAAGGTCTCAGCAATGATTGAAACAGAATCTAACATCGTGTATCTTCCACTGGTTTTCGAAGCGTACCCCGGGGTACGACGCATCCGATTATTGGTCTTGTGGCCAGTTGCAATTTCCGCAAAGTCATCATGAGCACCAAGGTCGTCGACGACTTCTTGGCGTACCTCCAGGACCCCGACTCGGCGATTGCGGTCGCCGTCATCAAGGCGCTCACCGGCGTCGTCCAGCGCTCGAGCGCGAGCACGATGATGGAGATCGAGAGCGCGCTCACGGAGGCGGCGGCGCAGCTCAAGGCCGCGGCCGACGGGCCGGCGCCGACGCAGGCGCTCTCGTCC